CTGCGGCCGTATGTTTTGGACACCCGAGTGAAGAGAGGGGCGGAGCTGTCAACTGATCACCACCTGGTGGTGAGTTGGATCAGATGGCAAGGGAACATGCCACGTAGACCTGGCAGACCCAAACGCATAGTGAGGGTCTGCTGGGAACGCCTGGCAGAAGAACCTGTCAAGACGGTCTTCAACTCCCACCTCCGGCAGAGCTTTGACCACGTCCCGAGAGCAGTGGGGGACATTGAGTCCGAGTGGGCCTTGTTCCACTCTGCGATTGTCGAGGCGACTGTTGCTAGCTGTGGTCGTAAGGTGGCCGGTGCCAGTCGTGGTGGCAACCCCCGTACCCGCTGGTGGACACCAGAGGTTCGGGGAGCCGTCAGGATGAAGAAGGAGGCCTACAGGGCGTGGCTGGTCTGTGGGTCTCCGGAGGCAGCAGACAGGTACCGGATAGCCAAGCGGGGTGCAGCAGTGGCAGTTGCCGAGGCAAAATCTCGGGCGTGGGAGGAGTTTGGTGAGGCCATGGAGAAAGACTATCGATCAGCTCCAAAGAGGTTCTGGCAAACTGTCCGGCGCCTCAGGAGAGGAAGGCAGCAACTCGCTCACACTGTTTACAGTGGGGATGGGGAGCTGCTGACGTCAACTGAGGCTATAGTCGGACGGTGGAAGGAATACTTTGAGGAGCTCCTCAATCCCACCAATGCGCATTCCGAGGAGGAACCAGAGCTGGGAGGCCTGGGGATGGACTGTCCGATCTCGGGGGCAGAAGTTGCTGAGGTAGTCAAACAACTACACAGCGGCGGAGCCCCGGGGGCGGATGAGGTTCATCCTGGGTATCTCAAGGCTATGGATGTTGTAGGGCTGTCATGGTTGACACGTCTCTACAACATTGCGTGGTCATCGGGGGCAGTTCCTAGGGAGTGGCAGACCGGGGTGGTGGTCCCCATCTTTAAGAAGGGTGACCTGAGGGTGTGTTCCAACTATAGGGGGATCACACTCCTCAGCCTCCCTGGAAAGGTCTACTCCAAGGTACTGGAGAGGAGGGTCCGATCGATAGTTGAATCTCAGATAGAGGAGGAGCAATGTGGTTTCCGTCCTGGCCGTGGAACTGTGGACCAGCTCTATACCCTTGCAAGGGTGATGGAGGGGGCATGGGAGTTTGCCCAACCAATCCACATGTGCTTTGTGGATTTGGAGAAGGCTTATGACCGTGTCCTCAGGGGCACCCTGTGGGGGATGCTCCAGGAGTATGGGGTGGGTGGCTTTCTGTTAAGGGCCATTCAGTCCCTTTACCAGAGGAGCATGAGTTTGGTCCGCATAGCCGGTAGTAAGTCGGACCTGTTCCCAGTGAGGGTTGGACTCCGCCAGGGCTGCCCTTTGTCACCGGTTCTGTTCATCACTTTTATGGACAGAATTTCTAGACGCAGCCGTGGTGTGGAGTGTGTCGAGTTTGGTGGCAGGAGAATCTCGTCTCTGCTTTTTGCGGATGATGTGGTCCTCCTAGCTTCATCCAGCTCTGACCTTCAGCTCTTGCTGGGTAGGTTCGCGGCCGAATGTGAAGCGGCTGGGATGAGGATCAGCACCTCCAAATCTGAGACCATGGTTCTCGACCAGAAAAGGGTGGCTTGCCACCTCCGGGTCGGGGGAGAGGTCCTACCTCAAGTGGAGGAGTTTAAGTATCTCGGGGTCTTGTTCACGAGTGAGGGTAGGAGGGATCGGGAGATCGACAGGCGGATTGGTTCGGCGTCTGCAGTGATGCGGACGCTGAGCCGATCTGTCGTGGGGAAGAGGGAGCTGAGCCAGAAAGCCAGGCTCTCGATTTACCGGTCGATCTACGTCCCAATCCTCACCTATGGTCATGAGCTTTGGGTAATGACCGAAAGAACGAGATTGTGGATACAAGCGGCCGAAATGAGTTTCCTCCGTAGGGTGTCCGGGCTCAGCCTTAGAGATAGGGTGAGGAGCTCGGACATTCGGGAGGGACTCGGAGTAGAACCGCTGCTCCTCCGGATCGAAAGGAGCCAGTTGAGGTGGTTTGGGCATCTGGTCAGGATGCCTCCTGGACGCCTCCCCGGGGAGGTGTTTCGGGCATGTCCTGCCGGCAGAAGGCCCCCGGGTCGACCCAGGACACGTTGGAGAGGTTACATCTCCAATCTGGTCCGGGAACGCCTTGGGGTCCTGCCGGAGGAGCTGGTGGACAAGGCCTGGGAGAGGACGGCCTGGAGCTCCCTAGTTGGGATGCTGCCCCCGCGACCCGGACCCGGATAAGCGGAGGAAGACGAGACGAGAGACGAGAGACAACATAAGTGTCCACTAGGTGGGGTGGTGGGTTGGGACTATCCCCACTTCAGTTCCTGCAGCCACGATAAGCAGCGCATGTCACCTCATTGTGGATAGGGGGAGGAGCATTGAGGGTTGGAGGGTTGCAGTGACCCTGGAACTTTTCAGCGGCCTTCCCGCAGTCCCGCCCAGGCTGGGAAAGGAGACAGGGTTGAGTTGCCATGACACATTCCACATATCTTCTGAGAGGGGAGTTTTCGTCGTAGCCTTGCAGGCTCAAGGGCGCCAGATTCTGATTAGAAATTGTTTTGGGGCCAGACAGAGATAATTTCCTCTCTGTCTTACAGTTTGTTGGTCCTCAACCTCTCAAAATCCCAATAATGGACATTAATCTATCCCAATCCGTGCTGATTTGTCCACTCTCTCCTTGATGGCATCCATCTTTTTGTGCCAAAGAATGAATCTCGGCCAAATAATCTTTGGCTGTTGCTTATTCTCTTTGGGCCTTAGCATGAAGTCTCTTCTTTCTGTGCAAACATGGTTTTTTTTTCAGATTTAGCTTTTTAAAACATCTATAGTGAATTTTAACAATTTCTATTTTTTGTTGAAGGTTGGGTCTTTATAACATGGATGTGCTGTAACCAGTTTTTGTTACCAGCAACAAAGAAAATAGCTAAATTAAACACTAAAATGATGTGATTGAATCAAATCAAACAATAACCTTATTAAAAGTGCAATAAGAAAGAATTGCATCCATCCATCCATTTTCGCTTATCCGGGGTCGGGTCGTGGGGGCAGCAGCCTAAGCAGGAAGGCCCAGACTCCCTCTCCAAAGTCACTTGGGCCAGCTCCTTCGGGGGAATCCTAAGGCGTTCGCTGGCCAGCCGTGAGACATAGTCCTTCCAGCATGTCCTGGGTCTTCCTTTAGGTCCCCTCCCAGCTGGCCGTAAGAACTTTACAGTGAAATAATCACAAACAGTCCGTTGTCTCAATCATGCTAGAAGGAAGGATGCAGGTGTTCCATTTTTCTTCTTTCTTAAAGGAAGAAGGATGTTGTTAATGTTTACAATCTGTCACACCTCCATAGGGAGCCTAAAGCTTGGTTTATGCTTGACGCGTTTACTTTCCGCTTGGTGACGCGGCTCGCGGATGGAACGCGCTTCACAACTTGCAGCGTTTATGGTTCATGCGGCTTGTCTCTGCGGTGAGCCAATATTCTCCCAAACTGTAGGGGGCAGCATGGAGCTCTATGGCATGCATCCAACACTACACCATAGTAGAAGTAAAAATTACTGTTGTTTACAACATGGCATTCCAGCATTTTTAACAGCGTCCTCGTCTTTTCCGACAGTGCGAGCTATTACTCTCCAAGAAGTATTAACAACATGTTGATCACGGTGATCTTTGAGAGCTGAATCACACAAATGTCTGCATTTACAAACCTCTGCCATACTAGTTCTTGCCAGTCCGCCATGTTTTTCCGCGTCCGACCATCCGCGTGGTTAGAAAAATTCCTAGGTGCGTGGTGCGAAAAGTTTTGTCCGTGCGGAGGCGCGGTGGAGGGGCGTGGTTGTTAAAATGGCGCAATTTTGCTGCGCGGTGCCGTGCGAACCTCGTGGACATGTCAAGCATAAACCAACCTTTAGCCACGCCCATCTACCCATGGATCATGGGTCACCAACTGCCACAGGAAAAATGGATGAGAGTCTTTGTGAGGATAAAAGTTATTTTCTTATCCTGTTTGATGCGTGCCATGGATTCAATACGTGATGTCCGGGAATTATAAAGACACGTTGTATGCCCAAGAAAGTGCCTATTTTCGAACGGCGGCAAAAGTTATTGTAGGTGAGTTGTGAAAAAACATGTGGGACTACAAATGTTTGTCTCACTGAACTGACATCATCAAAGCAGACAGGGAGAAGAGGAGAAGATTAGTTTAGTGTTTTTAATTACGAATTGTTACAAGCTAATAAATCTCAATAATAAATATGACAGACATAATCGAAACACACAAAAATACTTTTCATTTCAATTGAAGTACAGTGATTCAGGGCGTAAGGCAATGTGGGTTAGAAAATATCTTTTATAATTCACTTGCATTCCTTCTTTCTATGGGCAGACGAGAAGGGGAGGAGACTTGGGCTCCCTGTACTTCTTGCCTCCAGAGCCAAAAATGTGTGAGCCTGTGGGGTTGACACCGACTGGCAAAAAGCTCCTGAGGTGTTTAAAAAATGGAAACCAGTAAACTTGTACCCCTAAGAAGCCATGGCATCTTTTTGTTTTACTCTATCGGGTGAAGCAGGCTAGAGGCTAATGTTGAGCTAAAATTCTAACGGTGAATACGTAGCAAATAGTCAACTCTAAAAATATCTCCAGCTACTTTTTCAATCACCAACAAATGAATATTACAGTGAGATGTGTTCATGCACTTATCACCTTACTGTGCATGACTCGTCTTTGCTCGTCATCTAGAATATTCCGGTGCTGATCTGCAACTGGCAACAGTTGCTCACAGCGGACCCGTTTGTTTTGAAACATGGACTGCAGTACCCAAATTTGACCACAGGGTGTCACTCTCACTTAATGCACTTCAAGGACGCAACTTGATTAATTAGGCCTAATTTTCATAAATCTGTGAACCATTCAAACTGAACCAGAAACAACAATAACTAAACCGTGCCAGGTGTGTTCCTATAACTCTGTTTTTGAAATGTTGGACATTGTTCCTGCAGATGACAACAAGTTTGTCGAAGCCATAGTGGTGCTGTTCACCTGGATCGACCGGGGCGAGGTCAACCGCAGGACCGCCAATCACTTCTACTCCATGATCCAGTCAGCAAACAGCCACGTTCGCCGGCTGATGACTGAGAAAGCTCAACACGAGGAGGAGATGGAGCATGCTAAAGAGGCCTTCAAGAACGCCCTGGTGGCCATATTAACACAGTGTAAGGACACTCTTAAGCACTTTCAGTCAGGAAACCTTTCAGGTAGACAGGTCCCCAACACCTGGATGACACCTGAATAACTGTGGAGAGTGCAGCTATGCAGGTAAGTCTGACAAATGGGTTTCTACTGTGGTTCAGGAGTAATGACTCATCAAAACAGTTTTAGGGAAATACAACTTCTTTATTTAGTTTCACAATCCTGCCTGAAGATAAAAGCACTGAGCTAACAGTAAACAGCATAACTCTAACACATGTAGATGTTGTTTTTGTGGGTGAATTTCTACAAGAACGTTCATCTTGAACAGCAGATTTCTGAAAGCACTGTACAGTCCCGATAATCCCATCGCCTCACGGCCGCCCCATGTGAGTGCGCTCCTGACTACAGTTGCTCTGACTGCTGCAGGGTGTGGTGCAGCAGCAGATTACTGAGGTGCAGACCATGAAGCCACTTTCACCACTTTGAATCTTGCCTTGATGCAACTCATTTACTCTGCGAGCATCTCGGCTCAGTCTCCATGACAACGCTCCCTCATCCGTCTGAGCTCCGTTATCTTCAGCTTACCATGCTGTGGCGATTGGGTCAGTGGCAAAGAAGTTTCAGAGTCGGTGGCGTGACGACGCTCTGACCTTTTCACAGCAGACAGCGGAAAGCCTCAGAGGCGCAGATGCTGCTGATGCAGGTTAAACATTACTCATAGGCAGCACACAAAGGGAGGCAGCAGCTCTCACAAGCTCTAGACAACCAAACACTTTTACCCTACTCATCAGAAAACTCATTTTTGACACCAGTTTGAAAAAAAATCAACCGAAGGACCAAATCTCTAAGTTCAAACAGTGAACTGATTATTTTTATGAACATTTAGTTCAGTCTTGAGGGAGAAAATGCCTCTCCATAACCAACCTCATCAGTTCAGTTTGTACGTAAACACGTCAGCCGTGTGGGCGGAGCTGCAGAGAGGTAAGTGTAGTCACAGGTTGTCTTTTGGGCCATTCCCATCTGTACCGGGTCGGCCCGGGCCAGGTAGTGTAGGTTGTTTACATGTCTGGGTGGCCTGGTATTTTTCCGGGCCAACCAAGGCTCATTCTCAGCCCTCTTCTCGAGGGGGTCTGCTTCAGGCCAACCAGGGCCAACACACCCACTGCTGACAGCAAATTCACACCTTCCATTAGAGCAAGCCTCTGATTGGTGGGTAGAATCAGCCCACATGGGCTTAAGACAAGGATGTGTGGAATCAACCGGGCCAGGCTGGGGCCGACCCGGTACAGATGGGAATGGCCCTTTAGTCTCATTTTAGCTGATTTCTATCAAAGAAAGTTCATGTTTGGCAAATGAAATGTATGTATTGAATTGTTTAATATATAAAAAATTGTTTAATAATGAATATAAGATGGAAATTTCAGTCACTGAAAGGCAAATGTAAGCGCAACTCTGAAGGCAACATTTCATCACAGAATGGAAGATTATTATTATTATTATTTTCATTACTACCACCCTGATAACTGGTCTGTGGAAAAACCAAACATTTAAGACAATAGACCAGGTCTGAAGAGACGGCACAGACAGCCTAAGCACAGCAGAGCACCTCTGTGTTTGCTTCCATTCTGGATAGATGCTGCTTTGTCGGCCGTAAAAGGATGTGAATCTGCAGGGGAAGTAAGTACTGAGCACTGGCCAGGAGAGAGACCGGCTCATCATGTGACGCTTGAAGTGGCCACATGACCATAACAAACTTGGCAGATTTTTTTTTTATGTCCACCCTGAAAACAAGCATTTACAGGTCATGCTAGCTCTGCACATTCTGTCGTTGCTTCAGAGTTTCATAAAAGACTAGAGAAAATAAGAGCATTAGTTACTGTGGTTAACCATATGGAAGATCATATGAACTGTCGGTGCAGGATCGGCTCGGGGTCCTTCGACTGCCGATGATGTCACATTACTGTGAATCTACTCGGCTTTCACACATACGTTTTGGAAAGACATCAGCAGTTTTGTTAATAAATTCTTGTTTGTTAACACCTAAATGTTTTCTTTATAATTGTAATTTGTTAGTAAAACACCACATTATCTTTGTTTTATAAAGAATGTGAAACTGCATAAAACCAACATCGGACTGACAAAATATAGAACAGTTCTTACATGTGAAGCCATATCTGTTTGTATTAATGTGGAGTTCGTCTGTATATTTCCTTAGTTGTTATCTAAATACATTGTTTGACTCAAATATTGCTTGGTGTCTTTCAATAAAGTTCTTATATTTTATTTTGCCCCATTTCATCAACATCAAGAGCTTTTGAGGATCACCGTTTATCATTTGCTTATTTTACATTTCATTTAGAAATTCAAACATATTTTCTCCAAAAAGTGTTGATTTTGGACTACAGGACTACAACCGCTAAGACTATGACCGCTAATTTGTTCTGACCAATCAAAATCATAACATGATAACGTCACTTCCGTAAGCTTCAGGTTCAGCCAATCAACTACTTTGACGTCATCGGCAGTCGAAGGACCCCGAGCCGACCCTGCACCCGAGCAGATCCTGTGCCGACACCTCCACTGTTAGGAGATCCAGCTTCAAGGATCTGAATGGGGATAAAAGAACCCAGTGAGTTTGTTCCTGCTGCTGTGCAGAGCTGCTGTGACAGGTGTGTGTTTTACCAGAGGAGCAGATAAATGATGGAACATGGAACAATAACTGACCCAGATAAACGTTATCTAAAGCCCTGTCCACACCCTAGGGATGGGTACCTTTGGCATTTGAATCGATTCGGTACTAACTCCCGGTACCTAGGAATCGATGCCGGTACTTAACGGTACCAATTTTCGATACTTTTGATTGTTTAATATTTTAATTCTCTTTTATAATTAAATATATATTTTTCTCAATATATAACCATATTTGATAAATATCACGATAAATAACATTCAACTGTTTGTATTTTAACATCGTCCTTGTAGTTTTAAAAGCTGATAATTAAACTGAAGCAAACATCTTTACTGTGAACTAAATTTACTGTGTATCTTCATTCCTTTTGCCGTCCTTTTTCTTTGATTTTTCCTACTGGGAAGTTAGAATTTCCGAGGAGAACGTGAACGCACCATTAGCTGATAACAATGGTGGCAATGGAAGCTAATTTATCAAGCTAACATTATCTTAAACAGTTTATTTAGCTGCTGGAGCAGATTGAAACGATGATGCCTCACACTTAGATCGTTATCGCTGGTTTCATCTTCACCCAATCACCTGTCGCATTTAGTAAAGTGAAGCCAAACTTTAGAGCTCGTTCATGTTCTTCTAGTCGAAAATTCAGAGTTCCGAGGAGAAACCGAACGCACCATTAGCGGAATGGAAGCTAACATATCAAGCTAACGTTATCTTAAACATTTTATTTACCTACCGGAGCAGATTAAGATGAGGATGTCTCACTTAGATTGTTGTCGCTGGTTTCATCATCACCCAGTTACCCATCACATTTAGTGAAGTGGACCCAAGCTTTAGCGTGCGTTCTTTCTACCATGCTGCTCTGTTTACAACTCGCTTGCAGCGACCGAAGACATGACGCTCTTGCTCATGCGCAGCTGTCCAGGCAAGTTCTCATTATGAAGGACGGGTACCGAAACGAGGCACCGTTTCAAATTACGTGAATCGGTGCTCAGTCGGATTCTGTGGAATTCGGTCGGTACCTTTAAAAGTACAGAATTCGGTACCCATCACTGACCACCACAGATATCTTCTGTTTGGTCCTCCCAGCCACACAAGAGTGACAGAAATTGTTCATTTTTCAGAATTTTGTAGCACCCTGCATGTGGACCAAAGATCTTGTCACATAGCAGCCAGTTCAGCTCTGCTCCAGCAACCAAAACATCTGAATGGTTTTACTGGCTTTTCTGCTCCTGGTCTCACTTCATCCTGATTAATCACATCTTAAAGGAAAACACCAAGGGAATACGTTTCTTTATCTGTATGTTGATCACGTAGCAGCTCTCGCCCTCTAGTGGCGTGGAGGAATATTTAGGCATTATTCTCAACAACATGAGGGTGAAGCTGTTCTAATGAACAGAGAACAAACCTGGAGTTTGGCAGGCATGTTTCTAGATACGTTCAGCTCTGCGGAAAGGTGCTAAGGCTTAGCTGAACTTTAAGGAGTCCATCTGGTTTTGTTGTTCAGGAGTACAGCGCTTGTTTCAGATGGAGAACGGGTCCCGCTTGTGGTCAGCGTATGATGGCTGTCTCTCCCCTGCCAGCTGCACAGCCTCCAGCCAGTGCTATAATGCTACATAAATGGCTTGTTTTGTTTTGACCTTCCCTCCTCCTCCTCCTCCTCCTCCTCCTCCTCCTCCTCCTCCTTCCTGTTCACCTAAAAGTCGAGCAGATCACCTCCGTTTTCACCGCCGCCACCCGGCAAAAGGCATGGGACCATTTCTCAAAAGCACAGCGCAAGAACATAGACATTTGGCGCAAGCAATGTGAGGTTAGTACACCTTTTTTCTCTTCTCTCCACCCACCTCAGCCGTCTGCTTTCTTCTCTGCTGTCACCTCCGAGCACCCCCGAGAGGTCTGACAGATGAGCCTGTATGATCTGATGGGCCTGTTGTTGTTTTCCTGGATGCTTCACCCTCACAGACAGACTAACAGGCAACAGCAGACTCTGATCTGGGCCTCCCCTTCTCCCAGCAGCCCCACTGTAAAAGATCTGACATCTCCTCGAAAGTGCGAGGCGCTGCTATGGCAACAGTGATTTCCAGGGTTAAGCTTCTAATCAATTATTCATCCAGAATCAAATCATCATAGCAAGTAAGAACATGAGAACGCTGCGTGGAAAGGAGGGAGGATCCGCTGGAGGGTTCGTGGAATCAACACGACGGATCCAGCAGCCTGTTTCTCTGCAGGCAAAGTTTTGGTTTTCTCTGCTAGTAAACACAATGAGCACAGATTATCTCTCCACTTCCTGCTCAGTTTTATGTTTGCAACAGAGTTGACTCCGTGTCACCACACTGAAAAGGTCACGTACGAACCCCGCGAAGCAGCAGCAGCAGAAGGAAGATGTAAGAAAGATTTAAATCACAAGCACCATAAAAAGTGTCAAAATTAAAAATGAAAGTGAAAAACAAGGGCGACTGAAATATACAGACGTGATAGAAACAGCAGCAGCAGAAGAAGCTAACGAGCAGCGGTGGGTCAACGGGAGGTCACACACGAGCCAGCCTGAACAGATGAGTTATCAGCTGCTTTCCAAGGAGACCACTGGTAAGATAACACCGTCTCATATCGCTGCTGTCTGACTGTGAGCCTGTGGTAAGTCAAACGTCACAGAGAAGGGCTAGCATCATCCACCAGCGTCAGCTAATGTTGGGAAATGAGACTTTTAGCAGCTTTTAATGGCTTTTAGTAATAACTGTACATTTGACTGTCAGGCATTTATGGGTTAATGGTGGGCAGCTAGGGGCTGTGCAGTGCCGCAGTGGTTAGAGTTGTTGCCTTGCAGCAAGAAGGTCCTGGGTTCGCTTCCCGGCCTGGGATCTTTCTGCATGGAGTTTGCATGTTCTCCCTGTGCATGTGTGGGTTCTCTCCGGATTCCTCCCACAGTCCAAAAACATGACTGTTAGGTTGATTGGTCTGTCCGAATTGTCCTTAGGTGTGTGTGTGTGTGTGCATGATTGTTTGTCCTGTGTGTCTCTGTGTTGCCCTACGATGGACTGGCTCTTTGTCCAGGGTGAACCCCGCCTGATTGCCCATTGACCGCTGGAGATAGGCACCAGGCCCCCCCGCAACCCTACGTGGGCAAAGCGGGTTCAGAAAATGGATGGATGGTGGGCAGCTATGGCAGCCATCTTGAGTCTAATTTGTAGTTGAATGAATAAAAATGTCTCCAGTATATTTTGAGACGTTCATAACTACCACACACACACACACTGAAAACTCACTTGTTCAAGCTGGCTTTTGCATGACCTTCATCACCACTCTCTCCTTATTCTGCTCTTATTCCGCCTTTCCTGGGTTCCACTGATTTCCCTCTTTCCTATTCACTCTCTCTTCTTGTCCTTACATTTGTAATCACTATTTTTTATCTTTTGTCCTTATAAACTTATTTTTTAAATAATTTTTTAAAACCTTTTTTATTTTTTAAATATTTTGTTCTTGTGATTTTTATTTTGAAAGGTGCTATATAAAAAACAGCTTTCTTTCTTTCACACACACACACACACACACACACACACACACACACACACACACACACACACACACACACACACACACACACACACACACACACACACCTTGCAGCAGTGGGCAACAGTTGGGTCCTGAACTGGTTCCAGTGACTGATGGCTGCAGCGATGCTTCGCTATGACAGATTAACACCAACGGAGCCTAACTCTGGATTTGCGCCACTTCGGTTTAATTTTTAAATAAAACTTTATTCTGGAAAATAACACAATCCTTTCCTCTCTTCCTGCCTGGACTAGCATGATCATATAAAGCTCTGTTAATTTCTGATTCTTTAGTGTGTTGAGTACTGTTTGTGTGTGTGTGTGTGTGTGTGTGTGTGTGTGTGTGTGTGTGTGTGTGTGTGTGTGTGTGTGTGTGTGTGTGTGTGTGTGTGTGTGTGTGTGTGTGTGTGTGTGTGTGTGTGTGTGTGTGTGTGTGTGTGTGTGTGTGTGTGATGTTCAGGAGCTGAGGAATGCCCACAGTGAGGAGATCATGGGCATCCGACGAGAGGAGGAAATGGAGATGTCTGATAACGACTCGGATGAAATTCCCAGCAAAAGGATGTGCACCGAGGAGAATGGTCCAATAAGCAGATATTCTACTGGATATTTTCCTATTGCAGAAGTCAAACGCTGTAATTAGACCTGGCTTGAGAGCTTTTTCCTGTCCTCTTGTCCTCCAGGAGTGTGTGATCAGACTCGGGCCTCTCTGAAGGAGGAGAATGACTCTCTACGTTGGCAGCTGGATGCTTACAGGAATGAAGTGGAGCTTCTGAGGAAAGAGCAAAGCAGGGTCAACCGTTTAGATGATGATCACACACACACACACGCCCACGGTGCAGAGCTTCAGATCCAGCTGCTGCAGCAGAACATGCACAGCATGCAGCAGGTAGGCTTCCATGTGAATTCCTAATAAAACAACCAACTTTCTGTTGTATTTGTATGAAAAACAACAACAAAAAAACCCTTACGCCCAGACGATTCCTGGGAAAATTAGGACCTCCCCATCAGCCTGAGAACGATTTTAGACCCTCATGTTAAAAATCACACCATTTTGCTAGCTTCATCACAGTTTTCCATCAGCAGCCACAGCCCAGTGGGATACTGGGATCGGATCCTAGCTCCAGGATAAGACAACCATTTTAAAAGCAGCTTGTTTTATCTGACTGGTAAAAACAATTAATTGAAAATGCTCTTCTCTCTTTCCTTTGGATGCATCATGTATTCATCCTAGAGCATGTGATCCCTGACCTTGGTTATTTGGACCCTAAAAAGGGTTTAGCCGTTAAAAACAGCAGCTTAGTTTACACACACTCACTCCTGACAGAGACGTCCCATAACTGCTCGCTCCACTTCTTTCAAAAAGCAGTGCAGAAAGCAGGAATTAGCATGATCTGACCCGACTTCCTGTCTTTCTCAATCTAAAGTGACAGCGCTGATAGAACTAGGCACACTAGAGACAACCTCCAACACACACACGCTGATGCATCCTGACCAAATTCACCCTACTGTCGCCTCTTGTTTGTCACCCGCTGGTGTGTGTGTGTGTGTGTGTGTGTGTGTGTGTGTGTGTGTGTGTGTGTGTGTGTGTGTGTGTGTGTGCGTGTGTGTGTGTGTGTGTGTGTGTGTGTGTGTGTGTGTGTGTGTGCGCGCGTTTTGTCTCCCTCTGCAAAGTTAAACAGCTGCGACAAACAAATCCACAGCTTTGCTGATTTTACTCTTTTCTGTGCATCCCTTTAAGGACCACACATAAGCTGACTCTACTCCATTATAGCGGAGATAACACGGAGCCCCCTCCACAATAAATGTAAAAATAGGATCCTGTATGTTCAGAAAATGTGTGACGATTGTTCCCACTCCTCCAGATAAATGTTTCCGGTGTGAAGTTGTGGCGAAGAGCGCCTCGGGGCTCATGTAACCCTGTTAGCTCCATGAAGCCAGAATAAAAATGCACTTTTGACTTGAAACAGTTTAATTTTTACTCTGAATCACGCGAGTCCTCCTTCATCTGTGTGAAGTTAAACATGTAAATGTGTCACATGGCCCAGTGATCGTCGTATCAAAAGGCAAAATGTTTGTTTTCCAGCAACTTCTGAGCCTGCAGGAGAAGCTGTCCAGTAAGGAGGCGGAGCTTGAGCAGGCCAGAGAGGAGCATCGTTACCTGGAGGTGGAGGTGCGCTCACTTCGAGACAAGGTGTGTGCTGATTGGCCTGTAGAGAACTACACGCATTAACAGAGGTAATATGAATGGTCATCTCAGACTAGACCAGCAACCAGAATACCTGAACTGGTTTTTCTCCTTGTTGGAATGAGGTCCGTGATCAAAATGACCTGCTGGAGGAAAGGAGGTTGAATTCTTTGGTTGGGTGAATTTAGTCTTTCAGGATCATTTGACCTCTGACACACAGCTGAGTTTGAGTTTTAGGTCTTCTCTAGGATCTTTCTGTGGTCCCTTAAAGCATAAGTTCCCTCTTCTTCCTCCTACTGGTTGAAAATGGAACTACAGCTGTTGTCAACAACCCTGCTGAGCTAATGCTAACGTGAGCCAACTAATACTAATAAACCACAAATTTAAAAAATCCATACTGTTGGTTGGAAAATGTTACTAATACAAGTCCAGTAGCAACAAAAGCAGGTCACCATCAGTCTGATTTTGTAGCCTCCTTTAGCTCCTTCAGACTAACCTAACCAAAGCGCTGCACAGCCAATAAACCTAAAAGGATCACTTAAAATAGTTAAAAACAGTCAATAATTATGAGCAACCTAAAAACTAATTCAAAAGGGAAATAGGACATTAAATGCCAATTAACTCATTCACAGCCAGCCGTTTCCTGATCAGAAAAGCCCTTCGCTGCCAGCATTTTGTAGCATTTTTACTATTTTCTTAAGAGTCGCAGAACGTTGTGCAATATGATTATGTCAACGCCAAAACTACCAAAAGCAAGAGGAGACTCACCTCTTACATCAGGAAGAATCTGCGCGTTTCAAGCATTATCCGTTCTTTCATAATCCGTTGTGGAATTGTGATCGGCAGAAGCTTTTCCGGTTCGCACCTCACTTTTTTTACAGGAACGGTCCAAATCGATCTCCTAACACATGGATGTTCTGCTTCCTGATCAAGTGACGTGTGACGTATGCAGATGAAGATCAGCTTCAGAGCTGTTTGTTCTCACGGAGCGGGGGCTCGTTCCGACGCTCACACAGTAAAAAAATGTGAACAAGTTCATAATGTGAACAAGTTAATGGAAATAGGTCTTCAATCATGACTTGAAGACAGCAACAGTGGATGACTGATGAATTGAGATGGGTAGAGCATTCCAGAGGACGGGGGCAGCCTACACAAAGCCCCGCTCCCCCTTGCTTTATATTTCACAGTTGGAGTGGAGCAAGTGGTGTAGTGTAGACCGCATCGATGCTCACTCCGGTTTTAGCTCTTTGCTTGGCCTCCAAAGACATCACTTTCTGACTTTTACTTCCAGGCTCTGCTATGACGCCAACAAGAAAAAAAAATCTTCTTCTTCTTTGACATCAACAGCTTTGGCGTCAACTTGGACAATTTAGACTTGCTTTTCTTTGAGTGATAGAAGTGATTAAGTCCTTTATTTAGATAAGTGATGTATTTGTTTCTTCTGTTCCTCCTTGGGTTTATGGTCAGCGGATGGGAAAAGCTAAACCACTAACTTGTTTTCTGCTCAGCAGAGGGCTGTCCCATGTGAAGTTGGTCAAAAACCATTGAAACCAGTTTGAAAGCAAGAGCTTTAAGTGCTTAAAGTGACAATGTGTATTTTCCCTGGCGATAGGGGGCAGTACAGACCAAAATCATTGCAAGCAAGCAGCTGTGTTTGAGTCAAAAATCCCTGTGAGCAAAACCTCCAGCGAAACGACAAGCACACCAAACTCCCTTCCATCAGTGGCGACAAGCGAAGAGGTAAATGTGTAAAACAACGTTTATGAAGGGCCAACGATTTGTAACTGTTGTCACAAATCAGTAAATACGTTTTGTCCTCACGGACTAGAAGGAAACATGGCGTCTAACCCGCAGAGACCTGCTGCCATGTATTCTAGACCCAATTTTTATGGTTATATGTAGCGATGGGTACCGAATTCGGTACTTTTTAAGGTACCGACCGAATTCCATAGTACCGACTGAGCACCGATTCAAGTCATTTGAAACGGTGCCTCGTTTCGGTACCCGTCCTTCATAACGAGAACTTGCCTAGACAGGTGCGCATGCGCAAGAGCGTTATGTTGTCGGTCGCTGCAAGCGTGTTGTAAACAGAGCAGCACGGTAGAAAGAACACACGCTAAAGCTTGGGTCCACTTCACTAAATGTGATGGGTAACTGGGTGAAGATGAAACCAGCGACAACGATCTAAGTGAGACATCCTCATCTTAATCTGCTCCGGTAGGTAAATAAAATGTTTAAGATAACGTTAGCTTGATATGTTATCTTCCGTTCCGCTAATGGTGCGTTCGCTTTCTCCTCGGAACTCCGAATTTCCGACTAGAAGAACATGAACGCGCTCTAAAGTTGGAGTTCATAATTACTATGGAATCCTACGCCTTATGGCTTATTAAATAACATGTAATTTAAATCATTACACACAATACTAAATACACTGTTGTGGACCAGATAGGTGACTGTACCCTGGAAACGGTCAATGTCGCATGGACATGCAGATCTACTTTGGGTCTGTTGGTCCAGACCACGTCTATGGGACGTCCAAACTTTGCACAGTAATGGTGGCAGGACACCTCAGAACAGCACTACTCCCTCTGTTGTCCTGATTTTGCAACAATCTCAGCTGATGGAGAAGTCTGAGAGCAAAACATCTCCATCAATGCATGTGCGTCTCTCCCTGGCAGCGCTGATGAAGAAGTATAAAAGCTTTATTTTTAGCCTTCGGAGGCTGCAGCTCTGTAGTTCTTCCTCCAACATGGCTATCATCACTCTCCTTTTGCTTTGTGCATTCTTGAAGATGAGGACTTTTTTTCTGCCTAGTGGGCGACGGTGGCACAGGAGTTAAGTGCTCGCCCCGTAATCAGAAGGTTGCAGGTTCGAGCCCCGCTCAGTCTGTCGCTGTCGTTGTGTCCTTGGGCAAGACACTTAACCCACGTTGCCTGCTGGTGGTGGTCGGAGGGACCGGTGGCGCCTGTGCTCGGCAGCCTCGCCTCTGTCAGTGCGCCCCAGGGCAGCTGTGGCTACATTGTAGCTCATCACCACCAGTGTGTGAATGTGTGTGTGAATGGGTGAATGACTGATTGTGTTGTAAAGCGCCTTGGGGGGTTCCAGGACTCTAGAAGGTGCTATATCAAATACAGGCCGTTTACCGTTTAGTGGATTATTTAGAGTCTAGTTACTATTTACACTAGTCTGTCATGTTTCTGAGTTGAATGTGACTTAAGTGAGCAGATCTGATGATGAAGTAGTTTGAATGAAAACAGCTGGTTGAAGGTGAAGGAGCTGCTGTAACCAGAAGAAGGTTGTTCTGCTCTGCTGACAGACAGCTGCCTCTGCAGACTCTGCAGCTGTCACTCACTTGTAATGGGGTGAAAATTAATGTAAGATACTTAAATTAATTGCAAAAGTTTAGTTATTAAACTGAATATTCAGTAAGATTCTTTTCATTCGATAAACTGAAAATGCATCCCTTTTCTGTTTCGTTTCAATAATGAGGCAAGTTTAAAAATGAAGAAATTTATTTACTAACAATTTTTAAACTGAAAATTTCAAACGACAATTATAAAAATGACAATTCATGGATGGCAATTTTAATGACAATCCTTAACAGCTTTGATATTAAACTTGTTTAAAAGCAACCCTGTGTTGGATGGAGCTAATTTGAGAATGGTGAGTTTGGATGCGTGATTGGAATTCTCAGAAGGTTTCTTTCAGAGAGAATGAAGCGTTCTGGGTGAAATGATGTTTTGCAGATAACGGATTTATCTTTAGAGAAACAGCATCAAACGTCATCTGTCGTGTTCTACCTCACCCAGACAGGACCCCCTTTGTGGATCCGGACATCAGAAGGATGGGTTTCATCCAAGATGACACTTCGGCTGGTAGATGAGACGCAAGTGTCCGATGGTCCGGTCCAGAGATGTCCTGGGTACACGGTTTACGAAGCGTTTGGCAGATGAACGTTCTCATATTTAACTTAACTTCAGAAATCAAATGACTCTGGTAGAGTCTTCGTTAGTTTCGTTCGTTCTTTAGCCATTCTTGTCGGCGTGACAGAACAGCAGGCAGAGGTCAGGACGGCCGTCCCTGGCTCCTCAGGATGATGTCCTGTTCAGAACTGGACGTGAAATCTGTGATGTTAGATTTTACCAAACTCTCTCAGAACACTCCCACTCTCTCCGGAAGAAAGCTTGGTCATGCGTCAAAAAACATGTGATGCAGTTATTGTTATCTGAACTCTGTGTTAGCTGAATAGGTGAAGGTCTTCTTTGCTGAACACATCTTTATAATCATTATAATTAATCATTATTATACCCAAAGCATAATAATCAATTTCATGTAATTAGGATACCTTTTCCAGATCTGAACCAAGTGATCATGTTGTAATGATTATTTAAACAGTAATAAAATCAATGAATTTATTAATTATTATTTAATTATTATCTAATTATTATCATCGTGGCTTGAAGTGTCCTTCTGGGACGGAACAGCAGATACTGGTGTTATGATCTTGGCAGACATCGTGGCTCCTTGGGTTTAATCTGTGGATTCAAAGTACTGTCTGGCCTAGCTTGACCCAGCTGGGCAAATGTGACCTTTGGCACAAATCAGAGAACCTTCATGCCGCTACACACTCATGCTTGATGGGAAAAGCAGACGTATGGTTTTAGGCTGGGATAAACCCGAGTATTGAGACATACTTTGGAAAACTGTCAGCATTGTAAAGCCGGTCCTGGGTGATTCCTAGTTTGCTGAACTTTTCTAGATTATATTTATCATAATCTGGTCAGTGTGGGTGTAAAATAGTTTAAATCAATTTAAAGTTTGGCTAAAAAAGTTGTTTATTCTTTTGTTTCACTAGAAAATGAATTTTCCACCTGTCACATCTTGTGTCTTTGCTTGTCAAACTTATTTTTTCAAATGTCCCTTTGTCTCTGTGTCTCTGCAGCTTCTGCTCAGTAATAGGGACGCTGTGGAAAGAACCAACGGAGACATCCATGAAAAGGTGAAACTGTCCGTTTAAAAGAGATTTGATCGTTTCAGTTCCCGAGAACATGGATTGACTAAATCCTGCTTGATGCTGCAGGTTTTCCCTGGTACCTGCTGTAAAAGCTGTTTTTCAAACACATCCTCAAACAGGTGAAACTGGAAACATGAGAATTTGGTGCAAAAGTCCATTAATGTCATCCAGGTCAGGCTGAGAGACCATCTAAAGGCTCAGGAGCCCTCTGCAGGTGTTCTGGGGTCATCAGCTGATCAGAGTGTGACACTTTGAGTCTAAAATATTGAACCTTTTCACAATCAGATGTAATCATCACAGTTAAACTAATTAAGCTCTGAGACATTCGGATTTGTGTGGACAGGGGCGTGTCCAGGGAGTGGCCTGGGGTGGCACATGCCACCCTTGGAATCTGATTGGCCACCCAAGGTGCCACCACACTAATTTACCTTTAAAAAGGCTTTTCATTGTCTACAAAAGGCTTGAGGGTAAAACAAAAAAGCATAACCACTGGTGCCACCCGTGCACAAAGTTGTGCCTCACCTGGGCCACCCCATTTTAATAGATCTAGACACGCCACTGTGTGTGGAATGAGTCTGTCTCATAGATGAATTTATCCTTTTAGGTTGATTTACTGACATAAAGGAACTTTTGCCCCAGATTGTCATTTTTTTCAGTTCCACCTGTCCATCGTGAAGGGTTGCATGTAATTAAGAATAGTAATGTAAGAAAATATCGATATAGCAATATATCGTGATATTATTTCCTGCGATATTATATCGATGTTCAAAAGTGTATCAGTTTTTTGGGAAGAATTTACGTGCAAACATTTGTGTATTTTCTTTTCTTTTGGTGCAAATCAAATGCCGTCCGCTAGTCAGCAGTAGTGTGCAACGGAGTTTGTTTCCACCACTGGAACGTAAATCCCTCTATTATGGTTCAGATACCTCATGTTAATCATGTTAAGTATCAGTTTGGACCGTTCATTGAATTTTCCTACAAAAATTTTAGTCTAAAAAAAAATCGCTAACATCGTCCGACTGAATGTATCGCAATATATCGTGACATATCGTATCGTCTCCCCTGTACCGTGATAAGTATCATATCGCCAGAATTTCACCAGTACACATCCCTAATTAAGAATGCTGCTGTCCTCACACAGAGCTGCCATGGTGACCTTTGACCTTTTGCATCTTTACAGACTGTTAATGGGTGCGTCCCTTTGCTGCACCTCGGCAGCGAGAGAAAGACCGAGTTAATGAGAGGAGGAGTTGCTTCGGAGAAGGAGGCTTTGCTTCTGGGTAAGGATGAACAGCACCAACACAAGAAGGCTTCAGCGCGACTTTTACGCCACATCCTGTGATGTAGCTTTCATTTATCAGGATGAGTCTTTCCGGTCAGCTTCGACTCCTAACAGGGCGTCCCTTGTGCTTTTCTCCAGCTTCGACCACAGCAGACAAACCTCATTCTTTCTTTAGTTCTGCTGGTTTTGGTTATTAATGTGGTTCTTTGACTTTTCAGACGTCTTGTGCTTTCGCTGCTCTGTTCTGACTAAAGACAGAAGCTTTTGGGTTCATCGTTCACACTCATAAAGCTTTATGTCAGTGTCACTCCACCGGCTCTGAGGAAGTTTAAATACTGGGAAACAAGCGGTTCTGCTTCCAGGCTGCAGCCGTGGCGCATTTGACCGTTCATAAAATGTCGACCCTCTTGTTGGCTCCAGCATGGAAACTTTGCTGCATCACACTGAGACTTCACTAAATGGGTATTCAGTGTGTTTTGGGCTGAACGAAGAATGGTGATGTTTCAGTTCTGCCTGAAATGTAGCAAGTCCATCACACAGGCGTTTGTTGTGGTTTTGTAGGATAAATGAAACCAGACACAATAACAATTGTTTTAATGTTTATTTAAAAACATTACTTAACCCTGTAAGAAGAAGAGTTGGTATGAGTACTGAAGATTTAAAATGGTAAATGATCGAGTGTTTGTACTTACCTGTTTCCTTTGTGCTTCTGGAGGTGTTCAGCTAAAAGAATCCCCGGGGAGCAGGAGCACCTAAAGAAGGTTCCGGAGCATTCCATTCAGGAGGAATAGGAGGGATGAGCTGTGAAATTGCTCTAGGAATGCAGATTAGTTTCACTGAATGTTTTTAGGATTGATTAAGGATATTTCTATTTTTGTATTGTAATTTATTAAATAAATCTTATAGATGATGATTTAAGGATAATTTAAGAATATTGAAAGGTTGTATTTTTGTACTTACCTGTGTCTGGGTTTTACGATTAGTCCAATTAGTCACGCCTGTCATAAATACAGCTCTTTGTTTGTTGGAGAGGGTTGAGAGATGGATGGAGCGGCATGCATGGATTTTTGCTGTCTAGTTTTTAATTTGTAAAACATGTAAATAGGTGCACTTGGGTCTGCACTGGACATCGGCCTCCTCAGTATCACTCTTTCCTCCGGAGCGCATGAGGGTTATCCTGACAAGGGCCCTCGGTGCCACACGGCCACACGACTGAAGTCCGTCCCACAAACCATCTGGACAGAATTAGTTTTGTGTCTTTCTGAAGTTTAAACTGATGCAGCCCAGCAGCGGAGTGATGTGTGTTTGTGCTGCTGTGTCTGCAGCAGAGGAGAGCAGGAGAAATAGCAACACATCCATCTCTCTTAGTGGAGCCAGAAGGAAAACAAATCTAGATACAGAAAGAAGAGCTGCAGCTCTCCTCCTCGCTGCTGATGGGAGGTTTATTTAATAAGGAATCCAAACAATGAACATTTAGAACATGTAATTTTCTACAGGATCTTGGTAACCTTAGTCTCATTAAACTTAATTTTCAGAGACTCCGCCCACTGTGCATTTCTCCTCCAGCAGCAGGACTGGTGGAAGGAATTGAATTAGGTCTGCCTGTAGTTGCCAGCATTTTGCCACATAAATCAGTGAAATGAAAACTGGCTGTGCTGAAACCCCCAGGGAGCACAACCCCACCCCCCACCCCCCCCCACCCCCCACCCCCCCACCCCCCCACCTCCACCCCATGCATGACTGCCTGCTTCTGCAGGACCTCTCAGATGTAATCATCTTGAGAGCTCCTTCTGCTCCAGCCACCGTTTTTATGGGGCTGCAGAGCCGTTTGTTTATGGTGCAGTCCTTCATGTGGATGCAGACTGGCTGCTCTGCTGGAGCCTGAAACTTTACATCTAATATCCACTCTGGTGCATCGTCCCTCTCAGTGATTTATCCCGTCCGCCTGCAGATCCAGTAGAGCCACAGAGCAAGGCTGAAGGATGATGTTCAAATCTGCATCAACACACTTATTTTTTTAAAATATCATCATGACCATAAAAAACAAATTAATAACTGCTGAATTTGAATTAGTCTTTTCAGTCTGTGTCCTTTTGCACGCTGGTGATGCCTTTACAGTTTAAATAAAACTGACCAGATGAAACAACTCTCTCTGACCTTTGATGTCAAAGAACAGAAATGATGAGTTGATTTTGTGACGTGCTTCTCTGAGCAGAATCCAGCCTCTGTGATTTGTGCTCATCCACAAGTGGAACGGCTTATTGCTGTGTTGTTTTGTTCCTGCAGGCATCATGTCGACCTTCCTCCATGTGCATCCGTTTGGTGCCAATCTTGAGTATCTCTGGTCCTACATACAACGACTGGACTCAAAGGTAACGCTTTATGCAGCGGTCATGTTAAAAAGAACCTTCTGTGGTTTACAACAGGCACACATAATTATCTCCGCTGCCGTGTTTCACAAGTGCAGGATGTGTTTGAGCTGATGGGTCCTCGTTGGTTTAGTTACTATCAGCTTGTAAATCGAAACAAGCTAAACATTGGTAGTAACCACGTAGCTTCTACCTATGATAAAGGGGACATATTATGCAGAACTCACCTTTGGCATCATTCTGTGCCGCCATGTTGGTCTCCCCACTTCAAAAAACTCATCCATCTCTTTTCTGTCAGTGTTTGGTTTTAAGAATTAGGAGCCTAAAATAAGCTGTCTCAAAAAGTCCCCGTTTGTGATGTCACAAACAGGGAAAGTACAATAGAACCATCGCTCATGCACAAGAGAGAGCAGCTGTTGGAGGAGCTGTTCTATTTGAGCCCCTCCCAGATATCTGAGCTTCTCAGCTTACAGCAGCCTGAGCGGGGAATAGGTGGGCGTGGCCAGCTCACTCTGGAAGGTCATGAAGATGTCAGGACTAAAATAGCTTTGTGAGAAGGGATTTTATGCAAAGACCTTCATAAACATGTTTTGGATTGACCATAGAACTATTACAACTTTTAAAAAGTCACAAACTGTCCCGGGCTGCGCAGTGGTTAGAGCTGTTGTCTTGTAGCAAGAAGGTCCTGGGTTCGCTATCCGGCCTGGGATCTTTCTGCATGGAGTTTGCACGTTCTCCCTGTGCATGTGTGGGTTCTCTCTGGGTTCTCCGGCTTCCTCCCACAGTCCAAAAACATGACTGTTAGGTTGATTGGTCTGTCTAAATTGTCCTTAGGTGTGAGTGATTGTTTGTCCTGTGTGTCTCTGTGTTGCCCTGCGATGGACTGGCTCTCTGTCCAGGGTGTACCCCACCTGAATGCCCGTTGACCGCTGGAGATAGGCACCAGCCCCCCCAGCCCCCCACCCCCACCCCCGCGACCCTACATGGACGAAGCGGGTTCAGAAAATGGATGGATGGGTAAACTGTCCCTTTTGAGCAGTGTTCAGTGTGACCCCGTCTTACACTTCTGATGGTTTAAACACTCTGAATGAATCAATGTTGATGCAGCTGATTCTAAAGGCTGTGAGGAATCTAGTGGAAATGAAAGACGTTTGTTACTTTTGATACATTTTCCAGGTATCTGCAGGTGAGCTGGAGCGCCTGATGGTGCGTCTGCCCAGCATGTTCAAACAGGAGCTGAGTGGCGTCGGCGCGACTCTGGAGAAACGCTGGAAGTTCTGCGGTTTCAGCAGCCTTGGATCAGCGTGACACGGGGACAACACACGCACACGCTGGAACGGTGGATCCACGTGAACGATGTGTGTGTGTGTGTGTGTGTGTGTGTGTGTATGTATATGTGTGTGTGTGTGTGTGTGTGTGTGTGTGTGTGTGTGTGTGTGTGTGTGTGTGTGTGTGTTTGTGTGTGTGTGTGTGTGTCCCAAACAAACAGCATTGGACATAGTGGAAGCGATAAACATTCAAGCCTCAAAAAGACTCCTAAATCACTTCCAGGTGAACTCCAACAGGACCAAACACCTTTCAGACACAATCCATCCGTGCTGAAGACGTTTTGAACTGATTTCCTAGTGGTTCTGTTTTCTGGTGCAGCCTGTGGCCTGCCTGATATCAGCAGCAGCAACACAACCAGGACGACAGTAACGGCTATACCAAAGTTCAGAGATTTTATGTCAAACTTCTTTTTGATAAGGGAGTGCATTTTTTCTCCCATTTTGTCTACAAACTACTGCAGCTGAAGTGTCGCTGGCTGTCCTGAAGGCTATCAGGTGTGGGATCTCTCTGGGGAAAGTTGCTTTTCTTTTATAAATCTGACATAAAGCATGCAGACACCAGTGATGGTGATCTGCAGGCACGTTCTGAATGTGTTAGCTGGATGTTAACCTACTCTTTGTTGCTTCGTCACTGCGATTATTGCCTGATTTTATCAGTGCATCAGGCGGTTCCAGACAAAATAGTCATGGGTCGGGTTCTGATTCAGTTATGTCCTGGTTTCCAATCAACTGAAGTATTTGGTCATGTTGTTTCTGATGGTCAGTAGCAGCAGGAAAGGACCCTAGCCCTTACAAAGACAATTTAGACTCCTATAATAACTCTACGTTATAGGACAATGTGATGTTATTTTGGTAATAACAGCTGTTTGTTTTCGTAAAAACACTGTTTGATTATTTGGTGAATTTATTTTGCTTTTAGTACAGGTCTAGTCCTCCAGGACCTTGATTTGGCTCATTTTACCAAGAAAAACGCAGAGATTCTTCTCCCCTGCCCCGTCTTTTCCCTGTTTTTGTGCCGTTTCTGAGGAAGGGGGAAATGCGTGACCAGGAATGCTCTATGACCATGCTGTGACGATGCTGTGAATCTGGGCCCTGTAGCATCCAACATGAAGACCACCATCCGAAATTTGGGAGTGCAACTGGACTCAGCCCTTAAATTCGACGCGCAAATCAACCAGGTTGTGCAGTCGTGTTTTTTAACGTACGCCGACTAGCCAGAATTAAGCCCCTGCTGTCCAGAGTACATTTAGAGACTGTCACACATGCTTTTGTTCTCTCAAGGCTCGACTACTGCAATGCACTGTATGCCGGCCTTAGTCAGGGTGCGGTAGCACGCTTGCAGTTAGTACAAAACTCAGCCGCTACGTTCGTGACAGGCACTAGGCACAGGGAACATAACACCCCTGTGTTGGCATCCCTTCATTGGCTGCCTGTGCAAAACAGGGCACAATTCAAGGTCTTGGTACTGGCATACAGGGCCTTACAAGGAACTGCTCCAGCATATCTTGGCAACCTTTTGCATAGGCATGCCCCCTCGCGGGCCCTTCGCTCAGCCGGCAGGGAGCTGTTAATCGTTCCACGCACTAAGTGCAGGTCACGGGGGGACCGTGCGTTCTCGGTGTTGGCACCTGCACTTTGGAACCAGTTGCCTTTGGTGGTGCGTCAGTCACCCTCATTGGGGGTTTTTAAGACTCGCCTTATGACCCTTTTTTCTTTTTGTCAAGGCATTTCAGGATTAGCAAATTTTACCCGGTTTCGATGCCCCGGCCTCTTAATCTTTTTCAGGATTTTATTTTTTGCTTTTACTCTCCTCTTTTAATTGATTTTATGTTGGTTTTACGATTGTTATATTTTATTCTGATGGTTTAATGTTTTTATTGTGTTGTGTTCAGCACCTTATATTTTATTCTGATGGTTTAATGTTTTTATTGTGTTGTGTTCAGCACCTTGGGCGTCTGTATTGGTCGCAGAAGGGGCTTTATAAATAAATGAAATGAAAATGAAATGACCACTGGCACCGCAACAGCAAAAGCCTTTGAATCTGTTTCCAGGAGGCTCGCGTTACTCAGTTTTCCCAATAAAAGTTGTGATGAGAGAAAAATGTATTTGCGGTGTTAAACTTTGTTCAGTTTCCTGTTAGATCATCGCTGCAGGTTTCGCTAAACCCAGACAGACTTGAAATTTCTGAGCTCGATCCTGAAATGATGGTGAGCACGTCCTTCTGGAAGTGAGACGATTTACCAAACACGTTTGTTGTAGCAAACACTTCAGACACAGAAGAGCATTCATTGGTTGTAAAGTTAATGTTCCACTAGTAGTCAAACACTGGTGTGTGATAAAATGTGTTCGCATTTGACCCATCCCCATGGGGACCGGTGAGCTGCAGACACAGCCGTGCTGGGAACTATTTGGGGGTTTAACCTCCCAATCTAACCCCTTAATGCTGAGTGTCAACCAGGGAGGCATTGGGTCCCCTTTTTGAGTTCTTTGGTATGGAAGGATCGTGGATCAGAGCCCACGATCTCCCAGTCTCAGTTACACCTTACACCACTAGGCCACTGAGCTGGAAGCCAGTCAAGAACGGTGAGGAATCTGTGGCGTAGTTCTGCCTCCAGTCTAAAAAATAGTTTTTTTTAGACCTTGTAGTTTGTGTCCCTCTGGGTCCAGCCTGCCACCAAAAAACCATAACACAAAAAGTTTATTTTTATTTTTATTGGATTTGAAACTGCAGGACAACATTACTCTGTAGACACAAGAGAACAAACACGGTGCTATCGCTCCACTGCCAGATATTTTTAACTAAACAAGTAAATAAATACTGCGTGAGAGATGCTCCAGGGTTTGTAATTATCTGAGTCAGTGTGAAAACACCACAGGCCTGTTCTTAAGATCAAGTTGTTGTATCGAGGCAGGACGATGGTCAGGAAACCTGCATCAGGAGGTGTTATCTGTTATTATTTAGAAAACCTTCATGAGAGGAAAGGGCTGTTAAGTTTAGAACATACTGTCTAACCTAACCTGGCACGACCCATTCTCCTTTGTGTTTTAGAGGATTCCTCCGTCCTTCTTGGGACTGTCTCCATCCTAAAGTCACCAGATATTTATTTTTCACAATAGCTTTAACAGGATTCACCATCACAGTGATAATGTTAAATAAGGGTTTGTTTGTGATTACTATCTTACCTGCTTTAGATAACTTCTTGTGTCTGTTCTAGTCTTGTTAGATCTCAGTGCTGCCTTTGACACAGTTGATCACAATGTTCTTTTAGAAAGACTTGAACATGTTGTAGGGATCAAAGGAACAGCGTTAGGCTGGTTTAAATCCTACCTGTCTGACAGATTTAATTTTGTAAATGTACATGACAAATCTTCTTCATACTCCAGGGTTACTTGTGGAGTACCACAGGGTTCAGTGCTTGGACCAATTATTTTTACTATATATATGCTCCCAATTGGTAAAATCATTAGACAGCATGGGATAAACTTCCACTGTTATGCTGACGATACTCAGTTATATTTATCCATTAACCCTGATGAACCTAATCAGTTGGGTAGATTACAGGCTTGTCTTGAGGACATAAAAAATTGGATCACTCAAAACTTTTTGCTTTTAAATCAAGGCAAGACTGAAGTTCTCATCTTTGGATCTGAAATTCAGAAAAGGAAATTGCTTAGTCAATCACCTGACCTGAATGGCATTGCATTAATCTCCGAGAACAAAGTAAGGAAACTTGGTGTTATTTTGACCAGGAGATGTCATTCAAATCCCAGGTTAATCAGGTTTGTAGGATTTCCTTTTTCCACCTTCGGAATATTGCTAAGATTAGAAACATCCTTTCCAGGAGTGATGCTGAAAAACTAGTTCATGCATTTATTACATCAAGACTGGATTACTGTAATTCATTACTCTCAGGAAGTCCACAGAATGTAGTTAAAAGGCTTCAGCTTGTCCAAAATGCTGCAGCTAGAGTTCTGATGAGAATTGAAAAGAGAGAGAGAACACACACATATACTTGCACACACACACACACACACACACACACCTTATCTGGATGAGAATCTTATGTTTAATGAACTGCGGCAGACAGTTACTTAACACCTGGGGCTGTGTCTACTGTGTGTGTGTGTGTGTGTGTGTGTGTGTGTGTGTGTGTGTGTGTGTGTGTGTGTGTGTGTGTGTGTGTGTGTGTGTGTGTGTGTGTGTGTGTGTGTGTGTGTGTGTGTGTGTGTGTGTGTGTGTGTGTGTGTGTGTGTGTGTGTGTGTGTGTGTGTGTGTGTGTGTGTGTGTGTGTGTGTGCTCTGTCTTCTCGATCCCCAGTGAGTCGTGGAGGATGGCTGCTTATACTGAGCCAGGATCCTCTGGAGGTTTCTTCCTGTTAAAAGGGAGTTTTCCTCTCCACTGTCATTGCATGCTTGCTTAATATGAGGATTGCTGTAAAGACTCTGACACAAGACACGAGAACCTGCTGGGTTCCTTATATAGGAAACTTTTTACTGATTGGCTTAATGAACTGACCTGTATTGGAATGTTTACTATGTGAAGTGCCTTGAGACGACTCCTGTCGTAATTTGACGCTATTCAAAAATTGAATTGAATAAACCAGAACAGCCTCTGTTCTGACATTTCGGGATCTTCTGAACGTGACTAAATGGATGGGCGTGTAAAGGTTTCTAAAATAGTTTCTGTAGATTTTATTAAGACCACAGTCGCATCATTTATAAAGATTAATACAGAAACACTATAAAGAAAGCCTGCCTTTAGGTTTAGGCCCTGTCCACATGTAGCCGGGGATCTGCCAAAACGTAGATATTTTTCTACGTTTTGGCCTGTCATCCACACGAAAACTGAGTTTTTTCTCACGAAAACGGATCTTTTTAAAAACTCCGGCCAAAGTGAAGATCTGCATTTTCTCCGTTTTGGGTGTCTGCGTGTGGACAGACAAAACCAGAGTTTTAAGGTCCGCAACGTCACTTTCCGCGACAAAAAATGCTGACATCACGTGTGCGACCTGTGTTTACACTAGCCGACAGCATGGATGCCCTCAGAGCTGCGCTCTGTCACTACCCGATCCATCAATTGTCCAAGCGCTTTCTGCTTGTTTGTTTTTGCAAGCGGGATTACTGCTCCTTGTGGAAGACCACAGACGAAGGATGAGGTTAAGAACGGGGGAAGTACTGCCGCCTACAGGTCTGGCATGTCCTTAACAACGTATTTATCCGGGTACGTGTGGACAGAGTTTGTTTTTAAAACGAGGTGGTGTGGATGCAAGTTTTTGGAGGGGCGGATATTCATTTTCAAAAAACCCCGGCTACGTGTGGACTAGGCCTTAGTGAAGGACACTGGTGATTTAAATATCTGAGCTGCTGCTGATGCAACCCAGGTGTAACTAGCAGGAGCTCGATGATGAAACCAGGGCAGAGTTTCACTGTGACGATTATAATCTTTTATTAAGAAATATATTTTTTAAAAAGCCTGAATCCATGAGCGTTTTTTTTAACATGAAGAAAATGGATTCCACTGAGGTTTCTCTGACTCACCCTAGCTTTCACACATCTGCTGCTTTTCTGAGGCCCTGCAGGCTCTTTCCTCCCAATTAAACCTCCAGTTATTCTTTCACGTGGGAAGATCAAAGTTGAAACAAATGTTTTAAGAGGACGAATCACATGCAAAGCCTGATTTCAAATGGAGTGCCGAAAAATTCAGGTCATCTGCAAGAGGTGTTTTGAAAAGCTCAGATTCTTCTCTTTGACGTTGTTTTGTTTAATGGTTGTCATTGTGCTTTACTCACTGCTGTTTAAGGTGGAAGTGTGTGAGATGTTTCATCTGTTCGGACCTTTAGTGGACTTGATGTTATAAGAGATGCCACAAGGACAAGAGGCCTGACCGAGTGTTGGAAAGGAAGAATAACAAACACCATTAGAGCACATGGATTAATAAATCATGCAAAGAGAAATGATTAAAACATGAATATGTTATATTTTAAAAGATTTTCATTAACGCAACAATTAATAGGTTTCCCACTTGTCCCTCCTTCTAAAAGGCGAAATTTCAACTAGTGTGATATATTGGGCTGATATTAATTATGTTTTAATGAGATATATATATATACCTCCTTAGTAAACCAATTCAAAGTCAGGCACATCCCCGGGCAGCCCAGTGCTGCTGCAGAATTTCATTTATAGGCACATTTACTTTCCTGAATGACACCTGAAAATAAAATGCTGATAAAATTATTTTCAAATAAAATGTATTTGTGTTTACCAGTTTTAAATCATTAATACTTGGTTAGTTAATTTGTTAGTTTGATTTACTTTGATTAATTATCTGACTTAAACACAGAGCAGTGCACAAAATTAAGATTCAACAGTTGGTTAAAGTGACAGTGTGTAGTTTCCCTGGCAATGGGGCCAGTAGATACCTTAATCACTGCAATCAAGCAAGCAGAATTTTTGTGTTTGAGTAAGACTTTACCAACGGATGGCCATTAGGGTTAAAATCCATGGGAGCACAACCTCCAGCAAAATGTAAAGCACACGAGACTCTCTTTCATCACTGGCAACAAGGGAAGAGTTAAAAGTGTAAAACAACAACATTAAGGAATGGCAAAAGTGTTGTAACTGCTTGTTCCAAATGAGTAAACATGTTTTGTCCTCATGGGCTACTGTAGAAGGAAACGAGGCGTCTATTATGGTGTCGTTGTAATATCCTCTGGTAGCAACACTGAGCGTGTTTACATGCAGCCAGTAACCCTTTTAAAACCCGAATATTCACAATAACCCGGTTCCGCACGGCCATGTAAACACAGCCAAAACCCGGATATGCTCATAACCGGGTTTTTAAAAACCCGGTTACTACACCTGGGGTAACCCTTTTCTAACCCGAATGTTTGGTCGTGTAAACGCACATCGGGATATCCCCATCAAAGCGTGTGCTCTGCGCATGCTCTGTTCGCAAGGAATCTTGGTCTTTTGAGTAGCGAGACGTCTTGTATGCGCCAGAACACCGGAAGTAAACAATAAGTTGGGAGCAACATGGCGAGTCGCGGCACAGCACCACACTTTTGGAGTGACGAGGAAACCTCTGTCTTCATCGGTCTGGTGAAAA